CTCATGTTTGTTTTATCGTGTGCGTTTGTTTTGGTTCTGCACCTGTCTCCGCCCCTGTTCTGTCATTGGTCTGTTACCCATTGTGTTCACCTGTTTGCTGTTAGATCTTAATTCAAGTCTGTTTATTCTCTGACGTTTCTATGTTTCATAGCGAAGTCGTATCATGCATTTGTGTCATTAAGTCTGTGCATGTTTTTTTTTTTTTTTTTTTTTTTTAGAGCTTTTTCACACTTGAATACACTCAGGACTGATTCTGGGCTTGTTTGGGGGCAGGGCTCATAATCGCAGATTTGTTTTCACATAGAATAATTCCTTCCAAACTGTGGATTGTTTGAACAATTCCTTAAGCCACTTTTGTGCATGCAAGTTTGCAAAGGTGTTGGCACTAATTTTGCTGCTTTTTAAAAATTATTTTCCTTTGGCACCAGCACTCAGGTGATGAAGGACAGCACGTTTTGGGTTAGGGTTAGGAATATGCAGGAATACCTGAAAAGAAGCAGCCAGTCATGTTTCAAAAGATTTTTTGGTTACGCAGGCTTGCATGAGATGCACATTTTTCATGTTTTGTCTCTTCCACTGATCGTAAAGTTATGACTCAGTTAGTGCTGTATCTGTGTGTTTTTTTTCCCTTTTTTTCTTTTTTAGGCTCAGTTGATGTGATTGTGCTCTGGTTTGTATGCACTTGCAGTGGCTGATTTAACCGCACTGCTTCCAGTAGTCAGGGCTGCTGCTTTAGCTCGCTTTAGTTTTGGTTATTGTTGATTCTGACTTTGTGCATTCACACACTTCCTGGTATGTTCATGTTCATGTTCATACATTTGCATTCATGACTGACTGATATCACTTATTACTGATGTTATGATTCTCAGTTGTGTCGCCATCTCCTTATGTTGCATCTTAGAGCTAGGTGTAACGTAGGGGGGGACTCATCCGAGATTTGAACCCAGGACCTCTCACATCCGAAGTGAGAATCATACCCCTAGACCTGATTTGGGGTTTTTTTAAGGAGGGGTGTATTACGACCAAATAAGTGCTGTGTACAGCAGCGCTGAGAGTCTATAACTTACACATACACTGTGGACCACACTGCAGTTTGGTGGAAGATGTGAAACCACCTTAGTTTCCGGGTTTTGACTCTCAGCCATTTTCCTCATTTTTTGGGTATGGATATTCCATTATATATAAAACTATGACTATTGCAAATAAAACACAAACTGGTTTTAAACACTTGCCTCCTGCCCCTCACTCCTGCACGTTACATTTATTATGTAGTGTTTTTCAAATGCCCCAACAGCTGCCCTTCTGACTCTGTTACTGTATTATATCGAAGTAAAGAAAAGCCATATTAATTGCATTACAGAGTTACTTGGACTATGAAATGTATCTCCAAAGTAGCTCATTCTTTCCTAGCACAAAGTCATTTACAGCACCACCACAGATCTCTGCTTCTTCAAAAAATAAAAAAATAAAAATCATCAAAGTAAATGGTCAGTGTAAAAAAAACTTGAATGAGTCACCTGGTGGGAAAAACATTACCTCTGAATTGACCCAACCATCTGGTGACAACGGCACACACTGAGCGAGAAAAATACTAATCTGATGTCTCCTGCAGGATAAAAACAACCCTGCTTTTCTTTTTTAAGGCAACTCTTATGAAACATGAGGCAATGCTTCACTTCTGGGGTCTGGGAACAAGTCGCTGACCCCTTTTCCCCAATCAGTTTCCTGTTTGGGTCAGTACTGTGCGTGTGTGTGAGTGTGTGGTTGGTTTCTGACATGTTTTTCCTGAGTCCGTCTTTCTCGCGTATACACACAGCCCAGGTGGGTTGGGGAGGTGGGGGGTGTTGGGGGGGGGG